TAAATTTCAGAGACGTTTTCTTTGTGTTTTTCAGCATTAATCTTATATTCTTCCCTATGAATTTATTGGTAGAACTAGCTTGCAGAATAATCACTATTTTGCCCGGCGTTAGTTATGTGAGTGGAAAAACTTAAATATTTTTAAATATTACTATTACATTTTGTGCAATAATGTGAATTAATTGTTTGATTACGTGATTATTATAAAATGTTTATTCACTGTGATATATGTGGAATTTAAAAATTGTATATGGAGTATTGCAAATTGGAATGTGAGAAATGTGATATTGAGATCGATTAGAAATTTACTTGTGATTATATACTTCTCTAGTTCATTGAGGGGCCTTGGTTATGTTCTATACTATACTGAGGGGTCTTTACTATGGATGAAGGGGTCTTGAACGTGTACATATAGTTCATTGAAGGGCCTTGTAGTGTTCTATAATTGATTATGAGATGTCTTTGAGACCTATTTCTATTCAACTAGTGACCTGAGGCTCGTGTCGGGAGTGCTTAGCTAGAAGGGTAATCTAAGCGCGCATAACCAGATTACAGATTTCAGACAAAGGGTACATTTTTGGTACATTTTTCGGTATATTTTGATATGATGAGATTATAGAATGAATTTCAGTTGATGATTATATCATGACTATGAGATGATATTTTCCAAGTGCTATGAAAATGTCTCACATTATTATTATTATTATTATTATTATTATTATTATTATTATTATTATTATTATATGATGCTATATCGTGAAAATTCGATTTTCAATAAATATATATAAATGAGAAAGTATAAATATTTTTGAATTTCTCTACTCACTGAGCTATCAACTCATATATTTTTCCACATTTTTCTTACAAGGTAGAAATTGAGTTTTGGTAGCTTTGGAGAGCTTGTTGATTTTGAAGTCACAACCACATGACAATTAGGTCATCGGGGTAATCAAAAATTGAACATGAAAATACCTTTTGTGGCCCACATTAGCATATGATTGGTAGAAGGTTAAAGTTAGCATTTTATGTTAAATAGGTAAAACTCAATAGTTGAATGAAGAATCGAAATAAAGAAGTGAAAATTGGTGACAAAAGGGAAAATCAAAAATTTGAGGACCAAATTGAAAATATTCAATAGGTGATTTGGACCATAAGACGATACTTTAAAGATTGTTAGGAGACAATTGGATAGAATTAGAACTCAAAAAGGAATGAAATATGATCAAAATATTATCAAAATCAATTTTCAATCTCCCAAGTTATATTCCAAATTTTTTGCCAAATATTGAGACCCATTTTTAGTACAGTACAAGTTCGAATTGGATAAAATTATATTTATAGAAAAGTTGTAGTCCTTTGATCTAGCTTTTCCAAGTACTTTGAATTGCTTCAATCGAATATCAGGTGATAAAGTTCTAGCTAAAATACTGATTATTGTGTAGAGACAAAATATTCGCACACGAATGCAACTTTCCTTATTCAATTGGAACTCTTTTGAAAACTAATTTGGACATGATTTTCAACCAATTTTCTACTTCTGCAAATACCTAAAAGAAGAATGCATATTAGAGACCTCCGATATATTTATTATACTCCAATATTCATCAATTATTATCATCAAATGAGAAGAATTCACAACATTTATGAGAATTGAAGGGGATTTGCAAGAATTCAATTAAGTGAAGATTCAAATTTCAGTTTTGAGCAAAGAAGAGAAGGCACAAGTGGAGATATCAAGAAACCATTGAAGAGATTCAAAATTTCAAGATTCATCTTCTCAATTCATAAAAAATTTGGGCCATGTCTTTTCACTTAAATATGATTTTTTGTAATTTCGATATGTTAAACTAGTTTTATACATAGCTAGGATTGAGAGCCCAAGAATAACTAACCAAGATGGGGAGTGAATTGGTTATTAAATTTTTTTCGAAGATTTAATCTAAATTCAAGCGAGTAAAGACTAAATAAATTAATTTAAATAATAAGCACGAATATAAAAGCAATAATTAAGAAGGAGCGGATGCATATAATTGTGGAGGTTCGATCCAAATCAATTATCTACGTCCCCTGTTATCAAGTTCTCTGGTACGAGCAAGACCTTTTCACTATGTTGATTCACTTATGGTGCAATCTAATCATTTACAACGCTTCCGGTGACTTACAAATAAGGAGTACAGATCCTTATACAATGTTGAGATTTGCGGGATCTCAACACAATCCACTATTGAGCTTTCACGGGACCTCAATATGACTCACATGGTGACTTACAATAAGAAGAATCGATCTTTATACAATGTTGAACTTTAAAGGATTTCAACACGACCCACACTTTATCAAAATGGTTTTACAATAGAATATCTCTCTTGATAAATAATAC